TTCAATTTCTTATTCGAATCATTTTCGGTCATCTCGATACGATAAAAAGAAAATTTTCTATAGAATATTATTATTATTATTTGAAAATGTGCATATGTGCATGGTATGTACAAATATTAGAATGAATTAAAAGTTCGTGGGGTTTGTTTTTTTTAAATTAATCATTTGTTCAAAGTAAATTATACAAAAATTTAATTCACCCCTACCATAACGCACCCATAATAATTTTGAATTAATTACGATGATAACGCATTTGTATTTTTTGATTTAATATTCTAATAGAATAGGGAAATTATTTCGAATTAGGGTAATATAGTTTGTGTATATATTTTTAATTATTTATATATTAATTGATCGTATATTCACTAATAATTTGTTTTAATTATTATCATTTTATTAGAATATTTAATTTACGTTGTGGGAACACATGTCAAACACATTTTTGTAAGAGTTCATTGAACGTATATATATATATATATGTATGTATTATAATTATCTATTTATACATTTGTTTCTACAATTTCGAGTTTCTTAAATGTTAAAAGGAGATACAATTCGCGGTTTACGTAGTTTAACCGATATAAAGTTTTGTAGAATTTTTCTTATTTACGCTCGATTAGATTCGCAACAGTTCTGCCTAACAGTGCGCGACAAATTTACATTAACTGTACCGTTTTTCTTCTTTACTTTTATTTTAACATCCACAAACTCTTAACGTAATTGCATAAAACTGAATCATTAAAATAAAACTGGTGAATAATATCAATCAAGTTTATTTATTGATTTTAAAGAACACACATCCAAGCGTATGAATAAATTTCCAATAAACAAATATTATTCCACACGTTTTATATTCGAATATTAAAAAAATTTCTACGTAAAGCAACGGGGGGTGGGGAAAAAAAAGATATTAATTAATAATTTCCAATATTATAAAGTAAAGTCATTCGATATAACCTTAATGAAATAATTTTCACGATAAAAATATACATACAGTATGAAAGAAAGAAGATAAAAAAATAAATTAATGAAACTTTTTCCGGAAGAAATGGAAAAGGGTAACTTGCGTTTAACTGGAAATTCATTCTTTTTTTTTCTTTTCTTTCTTTTTTTTTTCAAACGTTATCGAATTATTATCCCAGATTAGCCATTGCCTATCGTTCACGATCGTTAGTAGAAAGAAATGAAAAGAAAGGGAGAGAAGAGTGGCATGGGGGTGGAGGAGAGGGTCGTGGAAAATTGCTTCGATGGCCGTTAACTTAAGCGTGCTGTAATCATCGTATCGATAATCGATGTCAAAGGTCGACCACATGGCTGAATGATAAAGATCTCCAACAAAATAATCGGACTAATGTGAACGGTAACGAGCCATTACTTTAATCTAATATTTTTTTTTTCCCCCTTATGCAACTTCTTCCTTATATATTATATAAATAATAATATAATAAAAGAGTGTACTTTAATTTAATATAAAAATCATTAAAATGCGTTTGCTAAAAATATACAAAATATTTATCGAAACTTTTTAGAGAGTTGGCAAAGTAGACAAAATTTACAGCATTGCATTCTCTGATATTTTATGCACCTTTGCAGATTGATTTATAACTCGTAAAGGTATTCTACGCGTTGGCAAAAGATTGTACTTTAATTTAATATAAGTTTCATTCAAATCTATTTACTTTTAGTATAAAAAATATTATTTATATTATATATTATATAGAAATATATATTATTATTCTATATTATTATATAGAAATTGCAATGACTGATTTCCGGCTTTGACGGTAACATATATATATATATATATATTTTATTGTTGTTGTATTTGTAATGCATTATTTACAATTTATACGACAAATTTCTAAAGTATAGTTAACTTCGTTTCCTTCTGTCTTTTTTATTTCTACAATGTATCTTGTCAATCATAAAAGATGACAACTGTATAGGGGAAAAAGTGGCAAAAAAAAATTGAGAGAGAAGAAAACATAGAAAATTTCATCTTAGGAACGAATTCGTTCCCAACTTAGGACACACTGGGGATGTGGGGGTGGGTGGGTGACTTTGTCAAACACGTTTTACAATAAAATTCCTGACACAAATCTCGAGAGTACGATTTAATATTAGTTCGCAACTGAGAGAAGTAGTGGCTTTTTCTGTAAAAGAATTTATAACGAGACGAGGACAACTGTGAGGGGGGGGGGGGGGGGAGGGGAGGGGAGTAGGAGAAGAAGGATAATCGTGCCTGGCATTAAAATGTCAGGATCACTGCTTTCAAAAATTACTATACTCCTTTTCGAATATGTATTTTTTTAGTTTCCTTACTTTAATCATATTCTTATAACAATGTGTATATACATTTTGTTTTTAAGTATCATTTATATTAATTGCAACACCAATTGGATATTCCGTTAAAAAATAAACAAAAAAAAATGAGTAAAGAAAAGAAAAAGAGTTGTTAGTTATTACCTCGAAGATGAAATATTATTTTCGTTCTACTTTCGCAGAAAAATAAGTATGAACCATAGAGAAAGAAAGAAAGAAAGAGAGGGAAGGGGGTTGGGGCCAATCTTCCCCTAAAAGTTGGTCGGTGGTGGTTATCGATTTAAGGGAACGTCCTACCCTATTTGTCACGTTGGATATTTTTCCCCAGCAAGATTACGTGTTCTGTTTGATACGAATGTGTGTGTGTGTGTATGTGTATGTGGAAAACTAATCCGTCATATCCGAGGGATAAGCAAAGATATCTTAGAAGAAATTTCTCATACGAATACCAATACGGATTTTTATCCGAAAAAAAAATAAAATATATAATAATATTTTTAATATATAATTCTGATAACGTGTGTGTATGTTTTCAATATATTCATTTTAGAAAATTGTTAATTGTTTTTAAATGTAAGTATTAGAATAAACAAAAAGATAAGGAATGGAAATAAATAAAGAACGAATTGAGAGAAAATTGATGAAAGTTGCGCCGAAGGAAAGAAACGAATCGATGCCGTTGTAATAGTAAAATCATCGTGAAACGAGTTCCATTTAGTTTTGTGGTCGAGGGGAATAACCATTACGTTTGATGAACGTTTTGTGGTTACGTCACTCTTCCTTAGGTAGTAGTATCTTCTTTGCCTTGTTGCCGAACCATCGAAACTCTACGTTTCCGGAAACGTAGTTGACAATAAAAAAAAAAACAAAAGACAAAGATATACCTACTTCTTTTCTTTTTTTTTTTTTCAATTTATCGTAATTCGTAATCAAATTTTGTGTCATTATTTCGATATTTTATCTCTGAACGTTGTTTACATTATTTACAAAACGACCAAATCGTAGTCTAGTTTAAATGACAATATTAATCATATTTTTATTTTCTTTAATATCAATGTTTTATGTTCAATCGTTCTTTTGATAAGCTCAACATTTTTCAACCAATCCTTGTATATAAGATGTTATATATATAATAACATAATTAGGATCATGTTTAATGTAACGTTAAATAATTTTTCTTTATTGGTAGTAATCATTTTCTAGACCATTTACGCGTATGTGTACGTACTTATATATAGATAAAAGTATATATTTATGTACATATATATAGATTTGATTAAGGTGGTAGCCAAGCTCGAACTCGTCTAGACGCGGAGGCGTCTGCATGGAAACTGAAATGCATTCACCGTTGAACATTTCTGCTCTTATGTTAGAACGATTCAGTTCGTTTCCCTTTTGGAACTTAATTTTCCGTGATATAATACGCACGGATTCTTCTCTCTATAATATTTTAACATCGTTACATTACGAAAACACGCGTCGTTTTATTCGACACACATTTTTTTCATTTTTCTGTATCTTTTTTTTATTTAAATTATTTCCACACAAATTATTATTTTCGTAATTTTTAATTTACGCAATTTTGTTCATTCATTCGTTCTTTTATATTTTGTCAATGGTTTTTTTTTTAAATTTTACGCAAATTCAATTACATGTATTCTCTTTGCTTACACAATTTATTTCGTAGAAATCCTGATTACCTCGTAGGATTATTCTTAAAACGCATCTCGTTTTCAATGTAACATTATTTTCCTGCGCACGCGGAAGCTGGTTACGTGAAATAGATATATCTCTAAGAACAGTAGATGCATAATATCTGTCTATATATAATACATACATAGTACGCATTTACTTGGATATTGTGTGTACCTTCTCGAATTAGAAAATAAAGAGAGAGATCGTGAAATGCAAAAGATTTTTAACGAGATGAAAGTTACGTGCGTGGGCGAATAAAATAACCGGAAGACGTAAATGTCGTCTATGGGATCATGTATAAAATCGTAAACAACATTACATACTATTTGTTTTGTTTTATCTTTTTTTTTTTTATTTAAATATATTATATTTTTATCAAGCGTATAAATGTATTTCTTTTATTTGCAAATCTTATTCGTTATTATATATATTATTTTATTTTTCAAATAATAAAATTAATTTATACATTTAGAATAGAATTAGGAACGATGTGATGTTTGAATAAGATTAATTTCAAATTTATAAATGATCTAGTTCCATCGTTGCACCGTTGCATCGTTGCACCGTTGCATCGTTGCATAGTTGCATAAAGTACTTGCCAAGTTCGTTTCAAGATGGCACCACCGTTCAGTGCCACTCCTTGTATTAATTTTGTCAATTTAATCTATAAAAATATTGTTAATTCTATATAATTATTTAGAATTGTAATTTAATTACGAATTTTTAATCTTTTTTTGTGTGTATATTTAAGTATTCTAAATATTATTAATATACTTTTTATTATTTAAATATAAAAGAGATGTTTTATATATCAACCAATCGGAGAGCAAAGAAATTTAGTAAGAATTTATCAATATTGAGAGGGCGACAGTTGGACAAACAAAAAATCTCCTATATAGGATGCACTTCTAGTAACAAAAATATTTCTAAGGTTAGTTCGGTAAATTCAGCTGGTTCGAGTAAATTCGACGGTGGAGTAGCCAATCAGAAACGTTTGTAGTTCACGATCGGTGAAGTTGATAAATGGAGGATTTGTGTTTGTCAAGGTAGTTTTGTTTACGCGATAATTTTCTCTCGGAATCAACTCCTCGCGTGTTTCGTGTGTGCTAAGAGGTAGATGAAGGTGCGTAACAGTATCCTTCGGTTTTCGCATTAAAATTGACAGGTACGAATGGTCTTGCTGCTGAGAAAGTTAATTCAACTCAAAAGGATCTGTCGTCCGGAACATATGAACTTTTTAGGAAGGAAGGATATTTCCAACATTTTCAAATGACTATTATTATTCACAAATTCATTTAATTAAAGATATATTAATAATCTACGTATAATCGTTAATCGATATTAATATTAATAACATTTAGATCTTTTCATCTTAAACAAATTCAACTAGAATATCATTGCTTTTATTCCAAATAGGTTATGAGCATAGCAATAGTATATACAGCGTTGTTAAGTAATGTATGAGAAAGTTTAATATATTTTTATTGAAACGTTAACGTTATACTTTTAATCATTATTATTATATTGTTATTATTTCATTGAAATAATTTAAGTCGATGAAAACTTTCAGCTAAACTTTCATATACTTACCGTACGCTTTATATGTTAACAAGTCTAGTTAATAACCGCTGTTAAAAAATGATGATCTGGATAGAAGCTATCGTATTGCACATTTGTTTAAAATTAATCAGGAAATAATAATTATTATCTATGCGCAGTGATAGTTCGCTCAATAAATTATAACCTGTAGAATCTTATTTGTTATCTTTGTTCAATCAAATAATGCAAAAGAAACATGTCGTGCTTTTAGATATACTATTTGTAATGACAATCTTTAGTATCGGTGAACACAATTATAATATATTATAGCATAGAATAGTATATTATTTGCAAAAGTATAAACCTATTCGCTGATAGTCTATAGATTTAGAAGACGGTTACTTTGATCATTGAATATATATTATAATAATTATATTATATCATTAATATATTGATTATGCAGTATACTAACATATATTGTTTCTATTGTTTAAAGGATTTAACATGTCCCGTAACCACAAGGACAAGTATGAAAATTCTAATCCACATCGTACACATACTATCATGTCCACAGAGGACGCAAACTCCGGAAAGAAATCTTATTGGCCGGAATTGGAGATAACAGGCAGTATAAGAAATTTAAGCCCAAATTTATGGCAATTAACTCATCTAACAGCATTGTATTTAAACGGCAATAGTCTACAAAGAATACCATCAGAGATATGTCGTTTAACTAATTTACGTGCTTTAGATTTGAGTAGCAATAAATTACGCAGTCTACCTGCGGAATTGGGGGATCTCATCTACCTCAAGTATGAATTTTTTCTTTATCCACACATCATATATTTTAAATAACATTTGAAATACATTTTAATATTTATATAATGTATTTAATTTGAATTTTTCAGGGAGTTGTTATTAAACCAAAACTATCTTCGCGTGTTACCGTACGAATTAGGAAAATTATTCCAGTTACAAGTGCTAGGACTTCAAGGTAATCCTCTGAGCAAGGAGGTAATGGCGTTATACGGAGAACCATCTGGAACCCACAAGCTGCTGTCATACATGTTGGACAATTTACAAGGTAAATACTTTTCAATGCGTTCAAGTCAAACTTTTAAATCATTTTTATTATTTTAATTAAAGTCTACGCAAAACTTTAAACTCACAACACAAAATTAAGATTTATTTCAATGAAATTTTAATTTATAATTGTATCATATTTCTTTGTTGTGTATAATTAAAATATTAGAATACGTTTATTAGTAGATTATTTATTTAAGTAAATGTCCTAACTATAACTTGATATATATGTAGATATGTAGATAATATTGCAGCTGTAGATAAGTTAATTTTCTTTAGGAAATCTCTTGTTAGTTTTCTATTTTATCGACGGTCAAGTATTATGGTAACATCATTCGTAGTAGATATCAATTTAAACGACGAGTTAATAGATGGTTCTATGAATTTTAGATATCCAATTTTTTTTTTTTTTTTTGATATTTAAATTAACAAAAAAAGAAAAAAGAAAAACAAAAATGCACAATGCAGAGTATCATCATTTTTTCTAAATAATGATATAACGCGCGTTCAATTTTGCTAATAATATTATTTTATTATTCATAGCTCGTATTTTTCGATTTAGATAAATTTGGAGATAATTTTATTATATATATATATATCTGGATTTGAACAAAAAAAAAAAAGAAAAGAAATTCTTTGCAATAAGAAATAAAAGAAGACGAAGAAAAATAAAAAGAAGAAAAGAAGAAATAAGAAGAAAGATAGAAAAAGAAAAGAAAAGATAATAATTTGTTGTATTTTTTTATAGATAAGAGAGATAAAGGGGTTCCTAGCGTGTTTCGTAAAACGAATCGTTGATCGTACCTAAGGCGGTCTAAGAATATCAGACCTTTTGGAAGCCCATAGACCGTATTAGTGCCTACATAATTTAATTTCTTTTAACATTGAGGTCAAGTGGGTGTGCCGAGTCGCGGCCACGGTGGGCGGACGGTAGATTACGTTAGGGAATGCTTAGAAAGAACAAGGATGGTAGAAAAGTAGAAGAGGAAGAAGAGAAATAGTATTATAAGTGGGAAAGAAAGGAATAAACGCGAACGAAGAGATAGAGAGAAAGAAAGAAAGAAAGAGAGAGAGAGAGAGAATGAAGAGAGGGTTAAGGGTGGGAGGGAGAGTTAGAAGGAAGGGCGTATTGCCATCCATTGTGTTTCATGATTTTTTCCAGTTATCCGATTGCCTCAAAGGTCTTGGTTGTACTATTCCGCTTCTAACCATTGTTCTCTGACTTTTACTATTCGGCATTGCAATACCTTGTCAGTCATCTCTCTTGTAACAGCTTGGTTCCTTCTAGCTCTCCTTCATCATCATCGATACGATTTATAAGGATCACATATATAATAAGAATATATCTATAGGATAGATATAGATATATACATGTATAATAGTGCTTTTATATTCTCTTGCTATCCATTTTTCTTTTTTTTATATCCCTTTTTGTTAGCGATCTCCTTTTTTCATTCCCTTTCCCCTTCATTCACCTCCTTACCTTTTTTTTTTGTTCTCTCATTCTCGTTTGGCCTCTTTTCATTCTATTCTATCGTTGCAAATATTAAACTTGTTAGTTCCATTAGAATGGAATACGTATCGAATTTACGTTTACTTTTTTAATGGTTATCATCGTAGTTCCCTTTTTCTTTTCTTTTTTTTTATTAATGATGATAACTTTTTCAATACTCGAGAAAAATATCTCGCAGTTTTTTCATTATACTCGATTTAATATATACGGTAATACCGAATTCTTGTTCTTTGTTTATTTTTAAATATAGGAATAGAAAGATAGAGAGAAATTCAGTTGAAATTTTTGGAGAGTACACTCTCATAGTTATAGCGATGAAATTAGAAGAGTCTTGTTCGTGTCACACTTATAGTACTTTTGGATATTTTCCAAAATAGTGGGCTGGGTGCATTTGTTTCCCTCCGAAATTCGTCGAATCGTTATCAGATCGATCGAATGCCAGAGAAAAACAGCCAAGCTTCTTTTTTTTCTTTCTTTTTCTTTTCATTCGAGTGCGTTAAAATCTTATCTTTCGGATATCCGTTCTCCAAAATGGCGCCTACGAGTCGACCCCTTTTCTTCTTCTTCTTTCCTTGTCCAATTTTTGTTAAGATTACGATAAGCTTTTACAGATCCGATTAATATCTGATACAATCGTTTCGTGAAATAAATGTTTAAGAAAATAAGAAAGAAGAATAGATAAACGTGCCGATTAATATCGGTCATTTGGAAACGTATCGTTTTATACGTTAGCCAAAGTCTCTCTCTCTCTCTTTCTCTTTCTCTCGATACGCTTTCTAGCGACATTCGAGAAATCGTTTCTCTTTTCCGATACTAGGTCGTCGGTTGAGTTCTTTTTAAACGCGAACTTTACATCCGTAGTTACTTTAGTCGTTTGACACACGCGTTTTATATTTATATACGAATATAAAGGGTTATGTCAAAGTATTATTATAATATAATAGAAAGTTATCTTTATATATATATATATAAAAAAAAGATAAAGAGAAATTTTCTTAAGAAGTTTAATATACGAACGAGATTATTTTTTATACGATCATTACTTTCTAAAATTTTCTACTCCCCCGCACCCCCCGTTTCATAAATTTATTAATATTCGCGCATATTATTTTTCTTTCTTAAGAAAATAAATGAATATTACAATAATCATAATAATATACGTGTTTGAAACACACATTACTCTCCACGAAAGAATATTTTTCTTAAATATGTATTTCAATATTAGATTCTCGCGTGTAATATTCTCGACATTATTGTTTTATAAACAAAAAAAAACAAAATGTGACTAAAATATATTCAATCGGATTAGATTTGACTATTTTTTAAATATTTAAGTTAATAATATGTTTTAAAACGGAAGTAAAAGAAATGAGAAATGAGAAAGAGAAAAGGAAAAGTACGGTTTGCGGTAGGAGGAAGTTGGAAGGGGGAGTTATGAGGGGGAAATCGGGTGGTTTGAAGGGGGAAAAGGATGGCTCGCGATTCGCTCGGTCGGCTACTGCCACCTCAGCCGTGTAATTACGCGCGAGTCTCGTCTTCTTGACTCCGTGTAATTGAGGACGACTCCGAAGGGAGAAAGTGAACCCCCCTGTCACCCCCTTTTCTTCCCCCTTGTCCTCTTTACCTTACCAAACTTCTTCCTCCTTCTACAAAACTTATACTTTTTATTATTCCCATTGTCGACTCGAACAAATTTTTCCTGTCTCTGTGTTATATTGTATTATAATATATTTTTAATAATAATTATTTTCTATGGGGTTCGAATTATTTTTTTGAAAATGTTTTTACATTTGACACGTGTAATGCATTTTATCATGATACGTGTGTGTGTGTATTTATAAGTATATTTGTTAAAAGTATACTCGACAACAATGTCACGCATACAAAGATGCAATTATTCTTTTATCGTAGTATTATTTTAAGTTATAGGTATTAATTTCGTGATTAGAGTTTCGTCGAGTTTTTGTTGGTTTTTTTTTTCTATTTTTCTCGTTAAACTTTTCTTACTTTAATCGGTCAATTATCGTACGAATTTATTGTTAGCAATTTGATTAAAAATAACTTTGACGTTTTCGCATTAGCGTGTATCACGTATACGTTATAACTAATAATAGTTTGACGACTATAATAAAGTTCCCTCTCTCTCTCTTATATCCATTTTGTTTTATAAGATATATTTATATAGAAAAGAAAAAGAACAAGAACAACAACAAAAAATCGTAAGAGACACGTATCGTGCGATTAGATAAAAACATTTGGTCGAATTATTTTCTTCAAAAGTTTCAAACGATCGTAGAATGAAATACAAAAAAAAAAGAAAAGACAAGAAAAGAGAAAAAAGTACACTCAATCTTAAAAGTTATTAAGATTTTTCGGATAACACTTAGAGGTAGGTGGATGAGTGGGTGGTTGAATTTGTTTCAGTGTATAGTCGTAAAAAAATAGTGTATAATCTTTTATCAAAGTGGTAACTACGAGACTTGTTTAATATCTCAGAATAGTATAACGTGTTTTCTCTCTCTCTCTCTTTCTCTCTCATATTCTTTTTCTTTTACATTGACGTGGTATTCGTTCGAAACGCAAGCAAAAGCAGGGCTTCGCTTTCTACGAGCACACCTGACCCGTGTGCCACCCAATAGGCCTGGCCCAAGAGTACTTTCCACGCTCGAACTATTATTAACCGCTAGCAAACTCGCCGTTAAAGTCATTCCATGGAGTCTAACCATGGTGTGTGTGTGTGTATATATATATATATATGTGTTCTCATAGCTAGTTATCCCCCTTTTGGTTAGAACTTATCGACGTTTATCAAAGAGACCGAACACTGTCGTGTTTAACAGACATTTCGAGATCATCCAATTTTTTTCTTTCTTTTTTTTTTTTATGCTTGTTATCCTTACTTCTTTTTTTTTTTATTATATTATACTTCTTAGATGTTTTTTTTTATCGCGATTACTCTTGTTCTTTTATCTTTCACTTTTCATTCCATACTTATTTTCTATGTATTTTACCTAGTACTACTAGTAGTAGTAGTGTAGTAGTAGTAGTAGTAGTAGTAGTAGTTGTTCTGCTTCAATCAACCTTTTCCTGTTTCCTTCTTTTTTAATAGTTAGTTGATCTTATCCACAGCCTTAATATCGCGTGTCTTGTAGTACTACGAATCACGAATCGATACACGTATCTTAGATAGATCGTTAGATAGATAGATAGATAGATAGATAGATGTATATATATATAGAAATAAAAGGATATTTAAGAGATAAGGTTTCACTAGAATTAGAAATAAATTCGTCTATTCGATACACTGAGATATTATTATTCTATTAAGTTGTAAATCTACTTTCATTTTTGTCATCTAAGTAGGAGGGGGGTGGGGGGTATTAAACGTGATTAATTGATCGGTTTTTCACCTTGACCATCGTGTTTCTCTTTCGAAAAAAATATTCTTACTTATTCTATTAACTTACTTTTTTAGTTGTGAATAAAAT